CGGGGAGATGTGGTGCTGAGGGACATGGTTTAGTGGTGGCCGTGGCAGTGATAGGTTAATGGTCCGACTTGATGATCTTAAAGGTCTTTTCCAACCTAAATGATTCTGTGATTCCGTTCTATGACTCTATGAAGACTCTGGGTGCAGATGGAGACCCTGCCTCTGGAAACGAGCGTCAGAGGCAACGCTATGACGGCACCTGCGGAGAGGGCTGAAGGTCCGGGAAATGGGCTCTGTCACCTGGAAGAGCTGGGGTCACACTGCTGACACCCCTCGGGCAGGATCCGGCCTCCCTTCAGCGCCAGAGGCACTCCAGCCCCTCAGTCATTACCCCGAGATTAATGAACTAATTGCAGTGGAAGGACGGTGCCACAGGAGGGCGACAATGCCAGTCGCATCGGGTGCCACGGAGCCCATGGGCAAACAGGGCATCCGGGGGGCTCCTGGGGGCTCGGGGGTGCCGTGGGTACCCCCAGCCCCAATGGGTCCCAGCCTCCTGGGCACCCTCAGGGCCCCAGGACCACCCTTCCCACTCCCGCCGGACCAGAGCCATCTCCCGAGGGACCTGTGGAGCCCAGCACGCTCCTCCCTCGCTTCCACTTCTTTTTCCCAGGATATGCTCAGGATAAATCTGACTCCCAAGCTCAGTGTGGGCACAATTAGACTTTCTTTTCCAAAATCTGGACTTAATGGGAAAATCCCAGGATTGCTTCTTTTATTTTCTTTTAAAACTGGAAGCAGATTTTACAAACTAACGCAGCAAAGCCCACGCAAGAGAAGTTGCAATCAACAACCTAAGAGAGCTTGGTCTTTAAGTAAAGGTCAGCCTGAATTGCACTGGAAGCCCAGGGAGGCTTTGAAGAGCGTGCTGAATGCCGATGGGGAGCTGAATGCCGATGGGGAGCTGAATGAATGCCGACAGGGAGCTGGCTGCCCTGGCCCTGGCAGGTTTTCCAGCGTTGCCAAAACCCCGGGCTGAGGGCTTTGTCTCAGACGTTGCCACCGCTAACCGCTGGCAACACTGTGGAGGGCTTTATGCGTTTCCTAGATTTTCACTTCTTTGGCTACGATGCTGTCAAGCTGTTTTCTGACGTAGAAAACTCATCTATGAAAAAAAGCAAACCAACCCACAGCTACCGAACAGCAGCACATTGCTGGACCGATCCAGGCTCTGTGGCTTTTACCCCACTCTACTGACCTGGAGTTTGAACCAAAACGGCAACGTTTTCCCCCGCGACTCCTTGCTGGCACGTGCTACCAGCCCGCATCCCTGCTGGGAAGGGGGAAACCCTGCAACCAAGCCTCATGCTCTTACTCTTCCAACCATTTTCCATTCTTCCAGCCACTCTTCCCCCAGTTCCTGCCCTTGAGATCCGTCTCCTCTCCCGTTTCTCTCTTGAGGAACACCCCAGAGACATTTTTTTTCACCCCGCAGCTGATAACATGACACCTACCTCTGGCCTGGGGCAAGGGCCTCACTTCATTGACGTCGGGCTCACTGTTGGGTTGGTGCACCTCCACCAGGATGAAATGCTGGTTGGCCACGGCCTGCGGGCTGCCCTTGTCCGGCGGAGGGGGTGCTGGGTGGGGTGGAGGAGGCGGAGGGGATGGGGAAGGGGGGTTCTGAAACCCACCGGCTGCGGGACCCTCCGGGGGTGGGGTCTTCAACCTCGTTGGGGACTGGACCCTGGGGAAGGGACCGATGGGGTGCTGGCTGACCAAGGAGAGCTGGGCATCCATTTGCCTCCTGGAGCTGTGCAGGGCTGGGGAAATGGTAGCATAGATAGCGCTTGGGGCAGACTCCTCGGTGGATGTGGTAGCAGTGGAGGTCATGCTGACTGTGTCCTTCTCGGGGTGGCTAGGAGGGGGCGTGGGGTTTCGGGGGGCCACGAAGAAGAGGCCTGACTGAGAGGACTCGGAGGAAGGGCGCTTGGGCTTGTCTTTGCCTGGGTTCCTGTGCTGGGCAGCAGAGGGGTCCAGCATCTGAGGGACTGAAGGAGGAGGCGGAGGCTTGAAGTTGGGTGGTTCATCTGGGAAGGAGGAGAGATCATCCTGCCAAACCAAGAACAGAAATCTTTAGGACACCATGCTCACCTGCGAGAACTTCCCCAGGCCCACAGCCACCTGCATCTGCCTCCTCACAGTGACCATGGCAAAATGAGCCCATTTTCATAGAAACGCCTTTCTGAGCGTATAGGCAACAAGAATACAACTCACAAATGAGGGCAATTAGAGGACAAACCACCCAACTTTTGCTCTGGTTTGCACAGATGCTACTCTTATTCAGACAGCCAGAACCCTTCTTCCTAACTGGTCTGATTAATTCGCTTCAGTGACTGCAGTGACATCCATGGGCAGGCAAGGTAGCAAAGAGCTACAGAAGCTGAGGCAGAACTTGACATCATCAATTTGCCTCCAGCTCCCACCCGAGGTGCAGCAGCACAGTGCGGTGTCTTACCAGGGAGATGTCCGGCAGGGTGTTGATGCTGCTTTGGTGGCCATCTCCACCTCCCTCCAATTCTGATGTGTTCTGATGGGGCAAAGAAGGAAGAGAAAACCAGGTCAGAGCAGCAAGGAGCAACCGCCACAGTGCCAGCATGATGCAGAGACACACACACACACACCCCCCCCCCAAGGCCAGTCCTTCACCCAAAGGTTTTGGTTTTCTGGGAGGTTCCCTAGAGACTCACACGTACGAGCAAAGCAACTCGGTTGGGAAACCGATTCTCCCAAGCTAAGAAGCGTGCTCAAAGCGTGCTGTGAACCTGACCCGCCAGGGCAATTTCCTCGGCAGCGGCGGAGTGTGCTCCTCTTAACCCAAATCTCAGCTCTGTTTAATTTGGAAGGAGGGGAGGAACCAGCTCTGAGGGCTGCAGGTTCAATACCTGGATCTTTCCCAGGAGAAGGGCAATGAAAATGTTTAAAGCTTCCCTCCCTTGCAAACCAGAGCAGTCAGTCTCAGATGCAAACAGAAGCCGCTGCCACGGCCTTCCCTTTATGAGTCAAAATGTCATTAGAAAATGTCACAACACGTCTCTGAACACATCACAGCGCCAGAAATCAAGAAGGACTTCGGGAATCTGTCCGTCTGTCTGCACAGGGGCAGCTGTCAGTCGGGAGGGACCCAAGGAGAGGACGCTGGATACAGTCAAGCAGAGCAAACAGGCAGCCTGGCTAAGTAACAGCAGGGATGGCAGAACTGGGGGTTTGCAGTGGCAGCTGGGTGTGGAGCTCTGCCCTGGCGAGCCATGCCTGGCCTGGCCCTGAACGGAGCTGAACCCAGCTGGTCCTGAGCCAAGCCCAGAGCTGGCTTTGCCCCAGGTGCAGTCCCGGGGGATGCGCTGCCGGCGGTGCACAGCCCCAGCTCTGCCTGGCTCCCCTGCAAGGCCCTGTAAGAGCAAACCCAGACTCAGCATCCCCCTCCCACAGTAACTCCTGCGCTGGAGAGGTGCCCGCTGCTGCTCAGAAAGGGCGTACTTGGTTTCCGTCACCTTCCCCGGTCTGTTTGTGTGTTTGTGCTGGAATGGGCAGGGTACAGTTTGTGTTTAACTGTGTGTTATTTATTGCAGGGTAAACAACTGATTAGTTGAAATGCTGGTGCATCTGCATTTCCCCCATCTGCTGGAGGCTGCTGCTGTGCCTGTAAGATGTTAGCGTCCCAAAATAGATGCGGGAGACAATTAAGAGCATTAAAGAAGCAGCAAAAACACTGATGGAAAGTGCTTTTATCTCTGTGGCTTCAGAAAGAACCCTGGAGAATGAGAAATAAGAGAAATGGCTTGTTCAGAGTGACAGGGGAAGTATTAGCTTGAGAAACCACTCCCTCCTCTGACGAGGGCTGATTTCATCATCGATTAATCCAACATAAAGGCAGGTGGCTTTTGAAAGAGAAACATCCCCTACCCGTTCTTGGGTTACTGACTGTGGCAAGCCAGGGCAGAAGGCAGATTTGGCTGAAACACATGGCAGCAGCTACAGAAAGAACAGGCTTCAGCCAGACCTGACGTGCCACAGGGCTGTGCAAATCCAAGCACTGGCACGAAGGCTGGGGCGATACCGTATGTCTGAGGCTGGAGGACGAGGCAGGTAGGGCTATTTCAAAAGCGACCTGCCTTCATGTTGATTAAAACGATCATGGACTGCTCTGGGCTGTGTACGCATTAGCAATAGGCCTTCAGATTTGATTGAAGTGCCAATGAATTTAAAAGCTCAAGTGCCATCACGTCCCTGCGTGACGCCAAGGAGCAGAGATGCTTGGCCGGACAAAACGCAGCGCTGGGGAAACCGCACCGAATGGCAGCGGCGTGCTCGCCGCAGAGCTCCCTCCTTTTGCCGTTGTTTCCTTTAAGGAGAAAGCTGCTCTGCAGAAAGCTGCCCGAGTATCCCCCTCCGCCTGCACCAGCCCACCTCCAGATGCTGCCCAGAGCCTTCCATCCAGCCAAATGGCTGCGTGCACAAGCACAGGAGCCAAGGCGGAGACGGTGGCATTTCGTAGAATCATTACGGTTGGAAAGGACCTTTGAGATCAGCATCAGCCTGGCCGTGTTTGGGAGGATCTCAGCTGTGTCCCTAACTCTTCCCTCTCCAGCCCTGCCTCTGCCAGGCTCAACCTGCCTCCAAGAGTTCACTGAGCTCTTAGCAAACACGAGGACCAGACCCCTGCCATACGACCGGGAGCAGCCTGCCTTCAAATAATCATAGTTACGTCGCTACTAAAAAGAGACGAGTCTGCCTGATGCCCCCTTAAAATCTGCCAGTGCCATCTCCCCCAGTCCTGCCACCAAACCCTGTGCCCATCACCACGACACCAAGCCCATCCCAGAGCCGTGTCCCAGCCCAGGCCTTGTAGCTAGGACCAGTCTGCACCAAGCCCTGAATCCTCCTGGCAAAGGGGGGGTGGGCGCGGGCAGCTGCACCCAGCACCCTCCCCGCAGCCCGGCCGGCCGGCCCTGATCCCGCTGCCCGGCTCTGCTCTCCCTGAACGGCCAGGGACGCTGATACTGCTCATCTTCTTCAGGGCACTTTTTTCTGCTGAAGTGTGCAAGCAGGAGATTTGCCTTTCCCCAAGCTTAGTACTTCGGGGGCAAAAGCAATTAAATAGAAATTACTCTGGGCTATAAAACGTAATGGCTTTTAAGCTGAGCACATTTGCTTTCAGGAATTGCCTATTTTAAGACTGTGCTTTCCTGGATTTCCCTTGAAGGACCCACGAAGCCATGTGCCACTGCTCTGAAAAGTGAGTATTTATTGAGGAGGCTGCTCCCTCCTACCGACTCTCTGCTCCTTTGCCCCATCTGTTTTCTAGTTCCTTATAGGAACTGGAGGCCAGGCGAGGCCCCTCCAGCCCCTCCGCAGGGTGCAGCTGGAAAGCTTTTGTCCTTCCTATCTTGCACAGAGTCCACGGCAGGAGCGATGGAGCTGGAGAGGATCTATCAGACAGGCAGCCAGTTTCCATTTGCAGATTAACTGGTGGAGAAACTGCCACCTCCCTGCGGAATAGAACCCAACCTTTAATTACCCTCACAGCTCCAAATAAGTCCCTTATTTTCCAGTTACTGCTAACGAGAGCTTTGCAGAGCTACTCAGCCTGACTCCCACAGGGTTTAAATTTTGAACGACTGTGCCAGTCTGAGAATAAGCCCGGCTTTCCTCCTCTCTCCCCTTCCCTCTCCTACCCCAGAACACATCTGCAGGGCTGGAGGAGCCCCAGAGCCCCTGGTCCTGCCCCAGCCTGAGCACAGACCTCTCTGACTTCGGGGGCTCTGAGGGTGACGCAATGACACCCACGCGGTGGCTTCGCTCTGTCCCTATCCTCGCTTCCTGAGAGGATCGTGCCGAGCACATGGGAACCCTCCTCATGGGATGTCTGTGCCTGTCCTGGAGGGGGACAGAGGGCAGCTGGGAGCTGGAGCAGCTCTGGAATGGTGGACAGAGGCGAGGAAGGTGTCCCCTGTTTCTCTGCTTTGGTTCTGCTCTCCCTCTGGGGACAGAGAGATCATCTGCCAGCTGCCAAAGAGGCTGTGGGCTCTTGTGCTTGAGATTCACCTTCCAGAGAGAGGAACAGCTCAGTGCCATCCTCTCCTTACTTATACTTCTTGTGAAGCGGAGACCAAAGACAGACAGGGGCTAGCAACTCAACCGGGCTCCCGTGCTGGGCCCAATCCTGTAGCTTCAGGGAGCTGGGAGCAAGTCGGTGCCTGTGGAATCAGGCCCTGGGAGGAGAAGGCACCTTTGGATGGCAGTGCCTTTGCTATGAAGCAGTCGAGAAGAAAGAATACATCAACAGGGATTTCAGTTCCTTAATCCTAACAATGAGGGCTGGGGCAGGAGGCAGGGATAAAGGAAACGCTAGACTGCCTTGCTTGTAAGCAATCGGAAATTCATCCTGCTCTGATCAGACAGGCTGCATCTGATTATTGCAGACTACAACTAACCTCTGCTTTGCAGGACTCATCTTGAGATCCAAGACTTACAAGAGGTGATGGTGACACTTAGATAGGCAGACACACATCATCCGTGGGTGGCACCATCAAACACGGCTTTGTCTCATTTCTGAGTATCCTTCAAGCATCCCATAACGGAATCACTTTTCCCATGGCAGGTCCTGATCAGCCTCATACTGGTTATTTTTGGTGTAAGTTCACCTACTGACCCACGGAGAGCTGATGGGACAGAGGGCCTGGTCTAGTGTCACTGCCTTTGGCCATGAAGCCAAAGAAGTCCATGTTCCACGGTTCAGGATGCCTGCGATAAACTCAGCCTGGGAACACTACAGCTGTCTTCTTCTAGATAAGTGCCATTCCCAGCGGGATGTGGCTCTTGGGCTAGGTTCACAGCTACCAGAGGTCCTCTCTCCCACAGCAGTACTAGCAGCTCTCAGCTCCACCGCTTGCCGTGTCCTCAACCCGCTGACCCCTGTGATTCCTCCCGGACAAGGAGACTCCGCACCAGGGCACAAGCCTGCGGCTCTTCTCAGCCTCCTCCCAACCAAGAGCTCTGTTATGACAGAGGGATTTCAGAGGCTCTCCCCACATCCATGTCTAGCCTCTCTAAAATCTGCGTGAGGATTTCTCCAAGGCTGAACACGCACAACACGAGTACACCGACCCCTCCTGCACTGGAGCACAGATTTTTGCAGACCCAAGGCCTGTAAGGAAAATTCTCCCCCATCCCTGAGGATGCGTGATGGGATGGGACCAGCCTACTGGTATTTAGCCAGGGTGCCCACACAGCAAGGCAGCGCAGCAGCAGACAGAGCAGGCAACAAGGCAGGAAGGGCAGGCTGGGGTCCATCAGGCATCAACGCTGCTGGTCCTTCTAAAACCCCAGCCGTCAGTGGCACTCAGGGCTTTAGTGCAAGCAGGACAGCGGTACCCGCTGGGGCTGGCTCAAGGCTGAGTCTTGTCTGCGCTGCAGCACCGAGGCCCGCAGCCGTGCTGGGGAAAGGGACTCTGGAATGGCTCGGTGGAGCCACAGGAAGAAAAGGCAGAGATGGGTGAAACGAGGCGGCTATTCACGTGGCTGAGTAGCATGCCGGCCCCTGGACAGCCGGTACCCCGCCTCCCACCCGATGCACATTCGCACGCACTCTCAACCCGTCTACTATGGCAACCGCAGTACTCGAGCTCCCCGTCTCGCTGACAGCCCCTACCTCCATCAGGTCTATTAGCCACAAGAGCCGCTCCTGGGGACGTGCGAGGGGAAAAGCAGATTAAAACAAGCGTAAAAGCGAAAACATAACATCAGGGAGGATGCAGAACAAATGAGCGAGACAAGCAAATCCCAGCACAACGCATCCCTCCTCCCCCAAAACCCACCCGGCAGAATCCACATCCAGCTGCGTCCAGCACTGAATGCGGAGGCTGAAATGAGCCCCTCCGGCGAGAGGTGCTGGGGAGGGCAACAGCAGCAGGGGCTTAGGGCAGAACAGGGCAGAGGAAACAGCCTGGGAGCTCTGTCCCTCTTCTCTCTCTCCTGCTCGCTGAGATAAGGACCCACCCACCATCAGCCCGTGCTCTTTGCTTGGCAAGTTGTTTTAGAAAGCAATAATGGTAAACACCTCAAGTGTCAGCGTTCCCACTGCCCGAGGCAGAGCTCAGAGGCGTGTATGTTCTCATGCCCGTGGAAAGAGGTGCCACGCTGCCGGGGAGGACCTGCGGTGTGGCCAAGGGACACGTGTTCTTGAAGGAAGCTCTTACAGTAGGGCCCAGCAGATGGTGCCCACTCTCTTCTCTACACCAGCACAGCACCCCAGTCTCCCTCGCTGACCTCCGGGTCCATGTGCAAGGTGGGGCTGGGCCACGGCTCACGCAGCGGGGCAAGCAGCCACGCTTGGCACGTGGTGTCACAGGGCAGGAGGGAGGGCACAGCGCACCCAAAGCAAGCGTACAGCCCCAGACACGGGGACAGCGTGGGAACAGGGTGGTGCGCTCAGTGAGCGAGTCCTGGCAGACCTGTGTTAGCCCTCTGATGCTTTAGAAAGATTTTCCCAGCAGGCCTTTGGAGAGCAGTGCAAAACTCCCTTTGTTTATCCTGATCCAGAAAGGATCTCACTGTAATCCATCCTGAAGAGAGCAGATGGCTTTCCTATGGGTATTTGTGAAGTCAATGGGACAAAAGCACAGCTCTGATGCTCTGAAACTCTCCCAGGCCTCCTGGAAGGCAGGGCCAAACTGCGTAGGCAGGACCAAGCTGCGCAGGCAGGCACAGCCCCAGGAAAGCCCCCCGCCTCTCTCCCCTGCCGGCTGTGTTGCCTGGGCCCTCCGCAGCACAATCCCACTCGCCCCGGCCGTGGGCTGGTTTGCTTGCTGTCGAACTAGCAGAAAGCCCATTGTCATCCGTTCTTTTCATAAAGGTTTTAATTTCCAAGGTTGCTAATGCATTTATGATGAAAGGCATTTTATGGCTAGGAAATTAATTTCAGGGCTGTGTGCCTGCACACTCCGAGGTTATTATGATAACTTAATTAGATGGTGCGTGCAACAAAGGCCTGGCAGAGAGACGTGGGAGCGCTGCCGCTTAATGCTGGAGAGTGGGCAGGGGCTGGGACAGGACGCAGCTGGCCTGGCCGCTGCGGTCCCCGCTGGGATGGGGAGCGGGCAGCCAGCATCCTTAAGGAGGTGATTTAAAAGCGACAGCTGGAGCTGGTGAATAGTGGCAGGCATGGTGTGGCAGCAACAAGTCGCTGAGACATCTGCGTGGATGCAGCTCGCATTGCACAGTGGAGGTCCTGGAAGGGAAGGAAAACTTCCTCCCTCGCTGGGGACAAAGTGCCACTTAGCACCAGGCCCGGCCCCCACGCAGAGGATGGTGGCATCTTAGTCTCAAAAGCACAGATATACCAAGCACGTACCACAGCATCACCTTTTTGTACCTACAAATCATGCTATTGCACCCAATCTGCAAGGAAGGAAAAAAGCTTTGAGGGAATCCACTGGGGAAGCAGACTGAACAGGGTTTCCTGCAGGGTGAAACACCTTTAGATCACTCCAGGGAAGTGAGTTTGTTGTAGGGCTGCCAAGAGCAGGTGTTGAAAGAAAAAAGGAACAGCCAAGAGGGACTTACCCGGGCTGAGCTGACGGTTGTGGCGGTGAAGTGGCTGCTGGAGGAAGAGACGGTGTCGCTGTAGGACATCATAGAGTAGGAGTCGGTGACGACACTGGGCCCCAAGGGCTGTCGAGCCTTCATGGACTCGATCTCTCTCTTCAGGACCAGGTTGTCGAAGCGGTCGAGGTCTTGCGGGGAGATCACACCCCGCACCTCTGAAAGCAGTGAGAACTGGGCCAGGCAGACAGACAACCAAAGAGAGGTTGGGGCACGACCATATTCCTGGGTAGGTGAAGACCCATCCTCCCACACTGTTCAACAGTGGTAATGAGATGTACTGGCAGGTAACGCACGAGGAGGTTTGGTCCTAAACTTTACCAGAAGCTCCTCTGCCACTGAACACCAGCCCCCATAATGTCCTACATCTAGATTTTGCTTTCACAGCCTCACCCTTGATCCTGAGTGGATAACCTCGGAGGCACTGAGCCACACCATGACAATGGCTCTGCTCAGCCCACCAGGTGGAAGAGACCGTCCCTGACCTTGGTGCGGGCCTCACCTTAGCATGTGTGTTGAGTAGCTCAAAGAGTGCCATGACCAGAGCATCCACGGAGATGTTGCCTTCCTTATACTCGTCAAGGTAGTACGCCATGGTCGCCCGCTCCTGTTCATTCAGCAGGTGCCGGGCCTGTTCCTCCAGCATGACTCGGGTCTGGTTCACCATGCTGCTCAGCGTTACCTGGGAGCCAGCCAAGCCCCGGTAAAACACAGGCTGCAGAAGAAGATGGGAGATGGGCTTTGGTCTGGGACGCCAAGGAATCAGCTGCTGACAGGAGGGCAGCTCTCCTTCTGCTGAGACAGCTGGGCAGCACCGGCAGGACCGAGAACTGCCCCCCTCGCTCGGGGCTCTGCCTACCCGCCCGAGCTGCCTGCGTCTCAGACCACTGCTCTCACCCAACTACCTGTGGCGAAGCTGGAAAGCAGGACTGGAAGGGGGATGCCGAGAATGCCTAGAGGCAGTTACCTCCAAGGATTCACCAGCACGGCCGCTCACTTAGTGTCACTACTTGTCTGGGTAACTCCAGAGCCACGAGTTTATGCAGCACCAGTTGAACAAACAAAACAGCTTCCCAGCTCTGTTCAGCGAGCGCGGACGCTGTCCCGTGACCAGCTCCTGATTTAACAGCAGGCTGTATTCCTTCCTGGCAGAGCTGGGGGAATTGGGGCCATGAGAGAGAGGCAGGCTTGCCATCTTGTGTAAAAGGCACGTTTGCCCCCACTGCAAGCTCGAAGCAGACCCTGGTGAAGAAAGAGCCACTGGCAACCGAAGGAGTCCTGGGGAGAGACATGTCTGGCTGCAGATGAAAGCCTTTTTTTGTTGAGAGGGGTTTCTAAGAGGAGGTCCTTGCTCTTCCCCTCCCTGGCAGTGCTGGCACAGTCAGCGTAGGGATATGGAGCCAGACAAGACCCTGACTATCCCGCGGACACAGAAAGGAGTCGAGGCTGGAGAGCATGTTTTGCCAGCAAACAGCACAAAGTGGTTATCAGCCAGAGCCACCTGTGAAACCTTGCTGCTTCATTTCCATTTAAAAGAAATGCTCTTTGCAAAGAGGTGTTCGGTGAAGATGCAGCCACAGTGCTGGGTAAGTCCCTGCTGCTGCTGCAGCCCTGCCACCGGCTGGGGGGGGGGGGGGGGGGGGGGGGGGGG